CTCTGATCTAGTAGGGCACCAGCAGTCTAGATAGGCCAATAAGCCCAGCTTCCCGCTAAGTGATTCTACACACAGCTGGGGAGGTCTGCCCTGTCCTGGGGCCCTACACGGGGCTGTGGGAACACCCCACCCCCTGGCCCTGCTGCAGTGCTACATACAGCACAAGGCAGATATACCAGTGGACTCCAGTGCCAGTACTGCGGTGGGAACTGACGCCTGGCCAATGGTGTGATTTTGCCTTCGGGAGTAATCCCACCCTGCATCTCTGGAACCCTACGTCAAGCAGGCACACCACTCCACTATCTTGAGGGAGACTTGGAACTCCTCCCGCCCCATGGACAAGTGATCAAGTCTCAGTTATCTCCCTAATTACCACTCTATTTCTTCTTTCTTTATTCAGTCACCATTCTCTTTCCCACTGAAGTCAGTCTCAATGAGCTCAGGTTTGCTTTAGGGTTTTTCTCTCTCTTTCTTTCTTATCTTTCCTTCTTTTTTTCTTTTTCCATCTTTCTCCTCTTCTCTACCTCTCTTCATTATCATACTTACTGGCTTCCAGGCCACTACCCTCTGCCTAGGGCAAATCAACCCAAGTAGCAGGGGCATCTCCAGCCTGCCCTCTGTGGGAGTGCTGCACACCACATGAGGCAGCTGTGACAGCCATCTACAGTGCACTGCACTGCTGAGGAAAACTCCATCAGACCTCTAAGGTGATCTCGCCAACTAGGAAGATTCTGCTCAGCACCACTGGGTCTCTGCATTAAAATGGCACACCAACCTGCCATCGTGGGGCAGGGTTTAAACTCCTCTGGCCCCACATTTAGGCAATCAGGGATCATCTATCTCTTTATTCTTTATTTCCTCCTTCTCTCTTTCTTTCCTCTTTATCATCACAGCCAATCTTAGGGAGCACAGTTGTTTTTTCCCTTCTTTCTCTTTCATCTTTTTCTTTCTTTCTTCTCTTCTCCTTTATCTCCACTTTTATGATTGATTCTCTTTTCTCCCTCTCGTTCCTTCCACATGCCACTGTTGGTCTGCAGACCCCTACCCTCTGCCTAGGGCTACTCTGCCTACCCAGTGGGGAGAGCTACAGCCTGCCCCCTAACACAGTGCTGCACATAGCATGAGACAGCACGACATGAGGTTCAGCTATCTCTTTATCTTTTTTAAAATTTTCTCTCTTTTGCTTTCTTTGTTTCTTCTTACTTTCTTTTTGTCCTTCTTTCACTTTTCCTTCTCTTTTCTCCTCTTCTTCTATCTATTCTCTCTTTCCTGTCACAGTCAGCAGATTCAGGTCTCCCTTTTTGTTGTTTTCTTCCTTTTTCTACTGTGTTAACTTTCATTTAGTCTGTGCTTTCATTTGTGTGTGTGAGTGGGTGTTAGTTTGCTTGGCATTGTTGCTCCAGTCTTTGTTTTCTTTCTCTGTTTTTCTTCTCCTCTCCCTTTCTTTTCTTTCACAAGCACTAGTGGTCCCCGGGCCACTCCCCTCTGCCTAGGGCAACTCAGAAGACCCAACTGGGGGAGCTCCCACCCATATTTGTTGGCTTAACATGCAGCGGGGGAAATAACACTGGTCCTCTTCCATACACCAAGCAGAAAGTGGTTCTCCCCTTCAAAGAGTTCGGGGGAACTCCAGCCTAAACCGCAAGGCCCTACAAGTGGCTGTCAAAAACTAGTGGTGGGACTCCACGCTACTGTGGGAGTAGCCACCCAACCTCCAAGGCAATCTCTATGACTACGGTAATTCCCCCTGCAAGCTACAGTGTTATACACAAGGAAGGGTACACCCACACATCCTCCTTGGCACTCCAGTTGCATAGGGAAACACCACAGGCCACCTGAGGTGGTCCAAGCACCTTGAGGCTTACTTAAAGATCAGCCAGTGAAGCGATGCCCTCATGGGCCCACAAAAACCCGACCAGCGTTACATGAGAGGATTATCCAACTCACATTCCAAATAACAGAATACTGGTTGGATAGGATAAGAGTGAAACCACAGGAAGATAGAGCGATAGCCTGACACCTCAGTACAGCTACCAGCAGGTAGTCTGTAGAAGCATTCATATGAGTCCCTGAAGAGAGATCCCAGTGCTCTTCAACTCTGGAAGATGGCTCCAGGATCCCCTAAAACAACACGTGAACAGCAACCAGTCCTAACAGCCTCAATGAAAAAAGCAGGAGAAACAGAAGACAATGTCAGAAGAAGTCATGAACCCAACAATCTGCATAGAAGAAGCAGATATTGAGCTTCCACAGAAAGAAATTTTCAGAATGCTGCTTGGAGTTATACAGGATTTGAGGAAAGCAATACAGATAAAGGAT